CTGAAACCTTCTTCTCTCATCTCGTCAAAGTCATTCTCCGTCCAGCTTTGATCCGTTGCTGGCGATGAGCTGCGTTCCTTTGCAGGGGGCGATGCACTCTTATTTTTTGAATTTCCAGCTTTTCTGCCCTGCTTTTTCCCCATCTGTGTGGTTTTATCTGCCTCTGGTCTTTGAACATGGTGACGTACTGATGGGGTTTTGGTGTGGGTGTCCTTCCTGTTTGATAGTTTTCCTTCTAACAGTCAGGACCCTCAGCTGTAGGTCTGTTGGAGATTGCTCGAGGTCCACTCCAGACCCTGTTTGCCTGGGTATCAGCAGCAGAGGCTGCAGAAGATAGAATATTGCTGAATAGCGAGTGTACCTGTCTGATTCTTGCTTTGGAAGCTTCCTCTCAGGAGTATACTCCACCGTGTGAGGTGTGTGGTGTCGGTCTGCCCCTAGTGGGGGATGTCTCCCAGTTAGGCTACTCAGGAGTCAGGGACCCACTTGATCAGGTAGTCTGTCCGTTCTCAGATCTCAACCTCCGTGTTGGGAGATCCACTGCTCACTTCAAAGCTGTCTGACAGAGTCGTTTGCGTCTGCAGAGGTTTCAGCTGCTTTTTTTGTTGTTGTTCTCGTTTAGCTGTGCCCTGTCCCCAGAGGTGGAGTCTACAGAGACAGGCAGGACTCCTTGAGCTGCTGTGCGCTCCACCCAGTTCGAGCTTCCCATCCACTTTGTTTATCTACTTAAGCCTCAGCAATGGTGGGCGCCCCTCCCCCAGCCTGGCTGCTGCCTTGCAGCGAGATCGCAGACTGCTGTGCTGGTAATGATGGAGGCTCCGTGGGCGTGGGACCCTCCTGGCCAGGTGTGGGATATAGTCTCCTGGTGTGCCCGTTTACTAAGATCCTTGGTAGAGTGCAGTATTGGTGTGGGAGTTACCTGATTTTCCAGGTGTTGTGTGTCTCAGTTCCCCTGGCTAGGAAAAGGGATTCCCTTCCCCCTTGTGCTTCCCAGATGAGGCAATGCCTCCTCCTGCTTCAGCTTTTTCTGGTCCAGCTGCAGCAGCTGACCAGCACTGATTGTCAGGCACTCCCTAGTGAGATAAACCCAGTACCTCAGTTGAAAATGCAGAAATCACCTGTCTTCTGTGTCGCTCATGCCGAGAGTTGGAGACTGGAGCTGTTCCTATTCGGCCATCTTGCTCCGCCCCCCTATGCCTTCTTTTGAAAGAGCATCTAAGGAAAAGGGGTCAATCCCCTTTTGATTAATAACAACAAATCCTTTATCTGAATCACCACAGACTTTCCTTTTCAGTTTTTTTTTTTTTTTAACTCTATCTTCAATGAAATTTTCTTTAAGCTTTTAGGAGTTTTTCTCTCTCTTCTGCACTTTTGTAAAAAAAAGAGCCAGAATTCACTTCTGTTTTTTCATACTCTAATGATACGTTACAGGTGAGGACGTATGCATCCTCCACCCTTTTCTTCATATCAGGATGCCATGCTCCATGGTCCAAAACAAGCCCTCTGATTAAGCTTGTATCAGTTTCAGATTTATGTTTCATCTCCATGATCTCAATCATGAAGAGATCAATAGGTTCATCTTGTTTTTTAATGGCCAAAATGGAGTCCACTACAGCCTCTGTTAAGACATCTACAAGTTCAGGATGAACTTTAGTACGAAGAGGTGTTCTGGCCACATCTATAAGTGCTTCCCTGTCCATCTCTCTGCTTGCTTTGACTTCTTCCAAAAACTGAAGGGCCTTTTCCTTTGCAGCTTCAAATCCTTCAGCGGTTATTCAGGGATGAAGGCCTTCAGAAATGTAGAGATCCGCCTGTTTCATTAGCTCTCCAATGATTACGCACATTGGAAGTCGTAGCATCACCAGTTATATCATCCTGGCCTGTTGCTACCTTTGCTATTAAGGAAGCTGTTGGATGTTGAACTTGCATTTCGTGAAGCAGCACATTGCCGTCTTTAGTAAGTTCGATGTCTCCAGCGCCAGAAACGAGCATCTTCACGGTGCCCTTGGGTGCCAGGTTGGTCCTTAGCACGTCCTGCAGACCCCGCGCGGCGCTGATGTTGACCACCAGGGCCGCCTGCGCTCGGGCCACCTTGGTCTTGGCGTTCAGGGTTTTCACCGCCACCATAGCTGCTCCAGCGGAGGAAAAGGAAACAATGCTGAGAGCCCATAGCTGGTGCGGCAGATAGTCATATATTTTTTAAAGGAAAACTGTTTATGTGGTTAATCACATTCATTGATTTGCATATGTTGAGCAATTTCTGCACCACAGAAATAAAACTAATTTTTTATATGCTTCAGAATTTCATTTGCTAGTATGTTGTTGAGGATTTTTGCATTTATGTTCATCATAGATGTCGGCCTGTAGGTTTTTTTTTTTTTTTTTGTATCGGTGGGCTTCGGTGTCAGAATGATTCATGCTTCACAGAATGAGTTAATGAAGAGTCCCTCCTTCTTGACTTTTTGGAATAATTTAAGTAGTATGGGTATCAGATTTTCTTTGTACATCTGGCAGAATTTGGCTATGAATCCATTTGGTGCAGGGCTTTTTTCTTGGTAGTTTTTAAATTACTGATTTAATTTTGGAATGCATTATTGGTCTTTTCAGGGTTTCGGTTTCTTTCTGGTTCAATCTTGGGAGATTGTAAGTTTCCAGGAATGTATTCATTTCTTCTAGGTTTTCTAGGTTGTGTGCAGAGAGGTGTTTGTAATAGTCTCTGCGGATTTTTTGTGTTTCTGTGTGGTCACATGCAACATAATCTTCATCACTTCTGCTTGTGCTTATTTGGATCATCTCCTTTTTTTTTTGCTAATATATCCCCTAGTATTTTAGCCTTGTTGATTCTTCCAATGATTCAGCTTTTGTGTGTGTGTTTTTTTTTTTTTTTGATTTTTGTATGGATTTTGCAATCTAGATTTTGTTCAGCTCTTCTTTAATTTTAGTTATTTCTTTTTAAATAGTAACTTTAGAGTCTCTCTTGCTTCTCTAGTTCCACCACGTGTAATGTTAGGGTATTAATTTGAGATTTTTCTAATTTCTTGATGTAGGTGTTCAGCACTCCCCACTTTCCTCTTAACAGGTTTTCCCTGTGTCCCAAGATTCTGGTATGTATTGACTCTGATTTCATTAATTTCAAAAAGTTTTTTTGATTACTGCTTTACTTTCCATCTTAACCAAAAAGTCATTCAGGAGCATGTTGTTTATTTTCCATGTAATTATGTGGTTTTGAGAGATTGTCTTGGTATTGATTTCTATTTTTATTGCACTGTGGTCTATGAGTATAGTTGTTATTATACATTTTTTAAAATTAGTTCAGATGTGTTTTATGGTGGAGCATGTGATTGAGCTTAGAATATATGCTATATACAGATGAGAAAAATGTATATTTGACTGTTGGTTGGAGTATTCTGTAGATATCTATTAGGTCCAATTGATCAAGTATCAAGATTTAGTCCAGAATACCTTGGTTAGTTTTTTACTTTGATTATCTGTTTAACTTGTCAATGGAATGTTGAAGTTTCCCACTTTTACTGTGTGGTTGTTTCTGTATGTTTTTGCGGCTGTAGGTATCACTTAAGGACCCCTTGCAAGGCAGGTCTGATATTGACAAATTTTGTTAGCATTTGCTTGTCTGAAAAAGATTTTATTTCTCTTTCACTTATGAAGTTAGTTTGGCAGAATATGACATGCATGGTTGGAATTTCTTTTGTATAGGGTTGCTGATTATAGGCCTCCACTCTCTTCTGGCTTATAAGGCTTCTGCTGAAAGTTCTGCTGTTAGCCTTAATGAGTTCCCTTTGTAGGCGACATGCTCCCTCTCTCTAGCTGCCGTTAAAATTTTTTCTTTCACATTGACTTTGAAGAATCTGATGACTCTGTGCTTTTGGCATGGTTGTCTCATGTAGTACCTTGCAGGGGTTCTCTGCATTTCCTATATTTGCATGCTGATCTCTCTAGCACTGGGGATGTTTTTATGGACAGTATACTCCAATATTTCTTCCACATTGCTTGCTCTCTCTATCTCTTTCAGGAATGCCATTGAGTCTGAGATTCTGTCTTTTTACAGAATCCTGCATTTTTTGGAGCTTTTGTTCATTTTTTCTCTATTATTTACCATCGTTCTCCTATGTTGAATCAAAGGAGAAGTTTCTGAGTGCCGATATTTTTTCCTCAGGTTGGTCTGTTCTGTTATTAATGCTTCCAATTGCACTTTGAATTTCCTGTAGTGAATTTTTCATTTTCAGATCAGTTTGTATTTTTCTTAAAATGGCAGCTATCTATCAACACTTGAACTATTTTACTGTGTCCCTTTTATGTTTTTCAACCTTCTCTTGTATGTTGATGAACTTCCTTGCCATCTGGATTCTAATTTCTATGTGTGTAATTTCAGCCATTACAGTTTGATTAAGAACCATTGGTGCCGTTGTTTGGAGGTAAGAAGACACTGTAACTTCTAATGTTGCCAGAGTTCTTGCACTATTTCTTTCTTTCTTTCTTTTTTTTTTTTTCATCTGTGTGGACTAATGTTCCTTTAGTCTTTGGAGTTGCTCCCTTTTGGATGAGGCTTTTGCTTTTCTTTTTCTTTGATATTCTTGAAGGTTTGACTGGTATAAGTTAGGTTTAGTTGATTGGCATCATTTTCAGATGCTTTCAGGGGCTAAGGCTCAGCTCAGCACTCCTGGGCTACATGCTCTAGCCCTGGTGAACTGGGACCTAGTCCACAGCTTTATTCTCTTGCCCCTTGGGGGTTAGATATCTGTTGCCCTGGAGGGGCCAATGTGTTCCCAGCCCATTGGCAACAACACTGACAGACACTGCTAGCAAAGGTACTCCAGTGGGCTGATGGTCATCCCCAACATGGATGCACATCAATGGGGCAGCAGGGGTCCCAAAGCTTGCTCATGCCAGCAGGGTGGTGTGTTTTCCATACGCATGTGCATGCTGGCAGGGTGATGAGGGGAGGCTGTGGGCAAGCATACACCCACAAGGGAAAGCTGTGGGTGGTCATGGGCTGCTGGAAGTCTGTCTGCAAAAGCACTCCAACAGTTAAGCAGGGCTTGCCACTGAGGGATCGATGGCGGTGGATGCTGGTAAACAGTGGAGGCTGCACTGCAAGTGGGTGTAGCTAGGCAGGACCCTGGCAGAGGCTGGCAGATAAGCGGGAGCTCAGATCAGACTGGCCCTGTCCCACAGGCAACACAGCCATGTTCTTTTCAGTTCCAACAAAGGCTAGAGCTGCCTGGAGGAACATGGCAATCTTTGGGGAGTTGGCAGCCATGACTGTGCTCCATTGCAGTCATTTCTACACAAAACCTCTGGACTCCATACAGGCTGGAGTTCTGTGTCTGCAAACTCTCCAGGCAGTTCTCTTTGCTAGCTCAGATGTTCATGGGGTTGTGTGTCAAATGACTTTTTCCTATATTTATCTGTGTGTTGTATAAACTCATACACAATGACCTTGCATTACATTTTAAACGTTGAAATATATCATACACAGCATATATAAGTAATAATATATTCAGTTAAGATGTTGATTATTATAAAGAAAAGTGCAAAATGTCAGCATCTAAGGTTAACTTAGAATCTGTCCAAGGGTCCATGAAGTCAAAATTACTTTACAATAATGCTAAGATATAATTGACCCTTTTCATTATGTTGACATTTGTAGTCATGTTTCAAAAGCAATGTTATCCAAAGTGGCTGCACATTAGCATGAACAAGACAGTGACACTAAATTGCACTGCTAGTCATTATATTCTTTACTGCTACACACAGTTAGTAAAGAATAAATAAAAAGTTAAAATTTTTTAGAAAAGGATTGATATCAGCAAGACTGTTTAGAAGCTCTTTATACTTGTCCCTCTCATAAAATAAGGACAAAAACAGTGAATAAACAGCTACATTTTAACTCTATTATTTGAAAATGAATGCTAGAGCACAGCAAAGGAGTAGCAGAGACTCTGTGGAACATGTAGGCTTAGGATGGCTTCATGGACAAGGAAGCAAAGCACTCTGCTGCTGCTACCTTATCTCCTCAAATGGGATTCACTCAGAACTAAGGGGGACTTCCCTCTGCATCAAAAAGGGAGAAGGAGGTTTCTAACAGCCCCTATAAAGATCATGGACATCTGCAGTCCTTCCTGCTGAAGAATCGTGCAGTCCTCACAGATGTTGAGCCAAGTTTGGGAAGATGCCAGGATTTTACACAACTGCATTGTTAAAGGAAGAGCTGACATTTGCCCCCTTTCTTATTTGACCTAAGCTGCTGCTGCACAGTGCCGTCTTTTAACTGGAGCCACTGCTATATTGTGTCTTGCTCATGAGGGCAGTAACCACTGCATCCCTCCATCCCTGAGGTTTTGCATCATTACAACATGCTCATGCCTGGTAGTGCACCATTACTCAGCCAAACTGTTATGGCTCATTCCCCTTGGGAACAAGCTGCCTAGGAGGTCTTCCGTCTACCCCATTCCAGTGTCTACCATACCCTAACCCTGGCTACTCAAAGCCTGGCTCCAGCAAAACAGCTGCAAATCTAGCAGCCAAATACACAAGGCACATTGAACCCACCCCCGCCCCCAAACCCAGAGAATAGTTAGTGCTGTGCACGATACAGAAGCTGAGTACAAAGAGCTAGGCCAGCTCCATGCACCCTCATGCTTTGCCTATGTGGGAGCAGTGCACAAGCTGGTGGGCCAGCTCAGCACTCTCTTGATGTGAGAACCAGCCTGGTGTCCTGCCCTAAGGGGAACAGCAGACAAGCAGAAGACCAACTGTATGCTCTCTTGGCACACAAAAGAGCTTGGTGGCATACCCCATGGAACAACACACAGATGAATGCACATGCCGTGATCTCCCTCTGTATGTGGAACAGCTTATGTCCCACCCACAGTGGAGCAGCACCAGAGACACTGATGCTCACAAAGGCATTGCTGGTGTTGACTACAGCTGAAGGAACTGCATAGAGACTGCCATTCCACTCACTGGAATCAAAGCCAGCACACCCTACCCAACCAAGTCCTAGGAAACATCAGCAGGTACAAGTATCTCCACATGAAAGACACTTGATAATAGTGGAAATGGTAACCATTCCACCTTATGCATGGGTATTAATATAGGGACACAAG